ATCGTATCGTATCTATCGTATCGTATCTTATCGTATCTATCGTATCGTATCTTATTGTATCTATCGTATCTTATTGTATCTATCGTATCTTATTGTATCTATCGTATCTTATCGTATCTTATCGTATCTTGCACCATTTAGATTCACAAGAGTAAAGTCCAATGATATTCTGAAGGAAGAGGTTTTAAACAGCTTTGAGATAGCCTCACCAAAACACTTAGCAGTGAAGGATTGAATTAACACAGCATGAGAATGAATCTAGTGAAATTTGTTGGTTATATAATTTTAACGGGAATAATGTCCTGACGTACTTTAAACGAGTCCCAGCCTGTAACATGAACACATCTTGTTTTCAGTTTTACTAAAAATGTTATTTTATTTTGACAGAAATTTCTGATGAATGGCTACTTCCATCTTAATACACAAATCAAAACCGGATCCTTGACACAAACCCATTAGGTTTAGTGGGTTTCAGTTATGGTAAATGGACTGTTCTTGCATAATGCCCTTCTATCCAACCAGGAAACTCAAAGCACTTTACACTACAATCTGTGCCCTCATTTACCCATTCACACACACATTTGTTTAGCACTCTACAAGATCTCTCTACAAAGCTACAGATAAATCAATTTATAGAGACTAATCGGTGCTTTAAATCACATTCATACACTAATGGGACACATCAAAGGCAGTAGGGAGGTTCAGTGTCTTTCCCAGGGACACTTTAACATGAGACTGAATAGCGGTGGAATCAAACCGCCAACTCTTGCATTAGAGGAACCACTACCCTAAGCTCTTAACCACAGCTGCCCCTAGTTGCCTTCTTAGAGTATTTGTCCATTTTTCCATTTATTACCACAAAGCCTCTCCTTATCAATCTGAATGGCAGTGATGAAACCAAATGTTTGCAGCCTCAGTGCAGTGAAATGTGTTTCAAGAAGTCTGATTTATTGCCAATGATAACCAAATAATTCCATTTTTTTTTTTTGTGGCTCTCACCTTTTGTTGCCTTACAATCTGTGGTGGGCGCAAAACTTTACAGCCCTTTGTCTTTTTTCTTGATGTCGTAGGTCCAGGACCAGGTGCCGCGAGAGGCCAGCCCATTAATGTGAATCCCCCTGGCTCACATCAAAGCCCTGATAATGTACAACAAATAAAGAAACGCATGGAGCAGGAGCTGAAGAGTGACAAGTACAAATCCAACAATAACAAAGGCTACGTCTTCACACTAATGCCTCTTTATGCCATTGGAGTAGGAGTGTTTGCGGCCTACAAGTTTTTGAAGGTTTGTACAACCTCTGTTCCATTTAAAAAAAACACACTGTGTAGAATGCAAATAAAAAATAATAATAAATTTTATTTGTAATGCATTTTACATTTACAGAAAATCTCAATGCTACAGTGGAGTAAAAAGCAATTAATAAGAAAAAAGTAGAATGCTATAAACCTATATTTCTTTACAGTGAACAATGGAAGAGTTTCTCAGTTTATTTACGTTTTTTGCTTAATTAGCAATACATCTCAAAAATGGAACAGGTTTAAAACTGTCTAGTATCCTCTGTTCTGTTCTTTTAACAAATTTTAAATGTCTAGAAACTCTGAAGACCAGCTGCTGGAGTTTTGGATGAGATGTTGTCCCATTGTTGTCTTAGGATTCTAGTTCGTCAAAAGTTCTGTCTTTTTTTTTATTGGATAGAAACATACAGCACGTAGGTCTAAAACCTGCATATATTTTTCAGCTTTGTGTCTTTTCTGCATTTGTAATCTAGTGGCTAACTTCATGGTCATCAATAACTTGACTTCAATGCACAAAGTTAAAAATTTTCTGACAATCCAACAAACATTTGTTACTTTTACTCATGCAGCCAGAATGTGAGTTAACGCAGGCTACATGAGATGCAGTCAGAAGTCTTAAGATGTCCTCCCTGATTTTTTTCTTGTCTTCACTAGTTAATGTGGGACTGAACTTTACTTTTATGTATTTATTTCTTCAACTAACTCAATGAGTGCTAGTGTAAAGCAACATCCTTACGAATGGCTTTGAAAAGCGCAGCTGATTAAACTGTGCTGCGACAACCATCCCATTTGTGCCAGAGCACACGCAGCTGTTGACCGATGTTGCTGCAGCGACCGGGTCCCTGATTTTAAAATCTCCAAATTGGTCTCTTGTGCCGCACCTCGTCTTCTCAGCTGGTGGATAAGAATTTTTTTCTGTGGATCATCTTTTCTAACAGCTGGTTAAAAAATGTCTCCCAGCTTTGGGTTGCTCTCTGCTAATTCTTTTCTTATATTTTTAATCTGTCTGGCAAATAAATTGTTTTTTATGAGCCCCACTTTCTGACTTCTTCCCAACATGTTCACAGCTGTCAGAGGGACACGCCCACACATTCTGACAGAAGTTACGTGTCCACTTCATAATTACCCAGCCTGTTTCTGAGAAATGTCCACATGTGTAACTTTCATGTAACTTGTTTGAACATATATTTAACATACTGGTAACTGACCTTAAACGTTTGTAAAAATGATCAGCAACAGTTCTGCATATAGGCTGTGTCCAAAACGGCAGGACGGGTCCTCCGGAGGTCGAATTTGTCGGCCGCATACGTCACAGCGCCGCGATGAAGGACGTCCAAAACCGAAGACTCCTCCGATGCGGCCGACAAATACGTGCTTCCTTTGGCCCGAATCAATCGAAGGACTGGTCCGATGGATCCTTCCCGGCCCAGCATATCCCATAATGCATTGCGGCCCGACCAGAGATTTTTTTATGCTAGTAATGGTGGATGAAGCAAGAGAAAATAATACATTTTAAATAAAAATATGCTAATATAAAAATTAAAAAAATTTAGTGGTTGTAATTCTAATACTTTTATCYTTTGTATGGACATGTTTTTAAATATTAWTTTTTCGTCATAAAAAARGRGAAATAAACATGKAKCTACAGCGGGTCAATTAGTTCTTCAAATGATACRTTTAAGTTAATTTTATAGTTTTGTGYTATTAATAATGCTAATGRATTGATATTTTTCTAGTTTTGATTTAAGTTTGCTTGTTTAGCGTCGTCACAGTTGCTAGGTGACATGACGTACGCGGGGTAAGGAGGGGAGGCTAGACCGTCCAAATTCACAGCTCTTTTTTTCCGGTCTTCCCGGTCTACCAAGGACCCGGCCCACCGCGACCGGGTAGTCTGGGTCCTCCGGAGGACCCGGCCTGTCGTTTTGGACACAGCCATAGCAATAATTTTGAGAATGTTCAAAATCCTGTTGTAGGGTCTCTGTATGACAACAAATGCTCTCGTATAATAACGTGTTGGTAAGTTATTCTAAAATTAAACCTAACTTTCATCGTGCTGTTTTTTCATAAGTAGATGCTGTGGGTCACTGTATGACTGCTGACTTCACAATTTCCTCTAACATGCAGAAGTTCTGCAGAAACTGGCAATATAGAGCGTGTCCCCAAAAGTGCATAACTGCCATTTTAACTATACTGTAGTGGTCTGATCTATGGGCAGGCTCAAAGATCCAGATTGGTTGTAAATTGGCTCTCTAGCGCCACCTTGATTGTAGTTCATCTGACTAGTTTAGCATACACCTATAAAATTTGGTGCACCTGTGCGTTAGTTCATCATGACCTACAAAAAGTCTCTTGACACCATATTGTAAAACCTACAGAAAGTCGGCCATTTTGAAGAAAAAGGCAATTTTCGCACCCTAGCTAGCCTGGCCGTTGCCTTCTTACGCAGCTCGGCTCAATTCTAGTTTCCCTTCACTTCTCCGTCTGGGACTTCTCCCATTGACAATGATTTTGCTGGCAGATTTTTAACTGGGCCAATCAGAACAGAACGTCAATTTTCTGCGCAGTGTCTGCTTGTATTTTATTTTACCTGGGCCAATCAGCAAACAGAAGGCGGAGTTTTGAATGACGTAGATGTTCTGCGCAGTGTCTGCTAGTTAGTTTAGCATACGGCAGTGGAGGAAGTGAATGAAGTCAGTCTGTGTTAATAAGGCTTCCAAATTAAAATAAATTTGTCTGACAAAGCAGCAGCTCTCATMTACAGTCGTCTCGTTTGGCTCGGTATATTTCTCCTCTCAGTAGGGTTGTTTACAGCACATGATTTCCGGTTAGCTTAGCCTCCATCACACTGACAACACACACATGCTTCAGCAGAGGCCACGCCTCCTGCAAGAATCGCTTCTCTATGCAGCAAGTCCAGACCCTTGTACGAAGCAAAGTGAAGGACAGGGTCTGGTTTTAACCAGGCTACACCCTTGCCAGCGGTTGAGTTGTTTATACTTAGTGTTTACGTTGTTGTAAGTTTCTCCAAAAGGACACGTGGAAGTACACTTTATAACCTGTGAAAATGTAAGGAGAGCAAAAGCATGACAGACAAACTATTTAAAAAGTGCGTAGCCTTTGCAGCATTACAAAAATTGGTAGGTGCACAGCCACGCACAGGGCCAACACGCAGGGGCGGGGATGGCCTCTTTAAGTTTGTCTCTTTATACTCGGTCTTCTTATTGACTTGTTGCAAATGATTCATTGTAAAATGCTCCTGCAGCTGTTTGTACCACATATTACATCCATTTGTTGCCCCTGTCCTATTTGTTGAGAGATATCCTATCAAATTCAAACTTATATTCTTTTTTTCACTAAAATGGTACAAATATTCAGTTTAAATTTTTGACATGTTTCCTTTATTTAGTTGTGAAAAAAATATAGAAATCATTGCGTTCTGTTTCATTTGAGTTTTACACGACCTTCCAACATTTTCAGAGTTTGTGCTGTATGGGCCTATAACTTGAGTGCACAAATTCTGTAACTTTGGAATGGATGCAAATTTTTGTTTCTTTGTTTTACAGATCAAGTCTTCAGATGGCAAGGCACAAAAGAACAAACTTGCGAAAGGCTCCAAAAAGTCAGTTGAAGCAGGTGTGCACCGCTCTTTTGCCTTTGTGTTTTCTTTGGTCAAATACATTTGGTTACCATGAGTGATTCATATATTTGGCTGCATTCATTGTGTGTGTTTGTTTGCACAGAGAACCAGCTGAACGAGTTGGAGCAAAGACTGGCACAAACGGAGAGGATGCTTAACTCTATCCTCACCCAGCTGGACCCACTTACTAACTGGTGAGGCATGAGTTGCACACTCTGTGGTCTCTGGGTGTTCGCAGCTTGGACCACCTCTTCTCTATCCTTCTGCCTCAGAGATTTAGTTTAAAATAACCCAGATAAGTGCTGGGCGGTATGACCCAAATTTTATATCATGGTATTTTCCACAATCATACCAGTATTTGACCATACCATACCATACCGTACCATACCATACCATACCATACCATACCATACCATACCATACCGTACCATACCATACCATACCAACTTTATTTGTAAAGAATTTTAAACACCAACAGGACCAAAGTACTGCACACAGTCAGAATACAATACAATCATAAAATAGAAAAATAAAAAGTAGTAATCAAATAAAACACAAATAAATACACAATAAAACAAAGTCAAACGTCCCCATATTTGACTATTTTTCTTTTCATCACAGTTCAGCTGATAACAAAATGTACAAATGCTGCTTATTGATGAGCGACTTACTCTCTTTATGCAACACAGAAACTATTTATTGACCTTTTTCTTTTACTGTAACTCTGTTTGTGTCACTCTTTCCCTCTACATGTTTTTTTTTTCTTTGTAGACGGTAGTCACGCATTTTGGTCCAGTTGTGAAGGAGGTGGGTTGAGAAAAGATCATCGGGTCTGTTGTTTTATGTTATTTAATAAAGCTTAACAGAATGACTCAGCTTGGTGCACACCAGCCAATTAAACACCAATACAAAACTACTTCCCCTGGACCTTTCACAATAAAAGCACATTAAAGTCTCCACACGTTAACGTTGCACATTAAATCTATTAGTGCAGGTCACTGAAAATTTGTTAACTACATCCATCCATTTTCTGTACACTCATTCTTTTCAGGGTCATGTGGGTCACTGGTGCCCATATCCAGCAGTCACAGTGCGGGGGGCGGAGTACACTCTGGACAGCGATGGCAAAAACGGGACTTTTTTTTATTTTATTTACGTCAGTCAATGCAAGCAGCAGAATCGCCACCCACCGCCAGTTGCTCCAAAAAGCCACTCCAACAATAACATTAGCTTGTTTATGCACATAGCGTTGCTGCGAGGAAAAGTATCCACCGGGAAACAGTTCACTGGCGCGCGTGACTAAACTTTCTGAATGTGTTCAGGCTATTTAAATTGGTATGTCTGTTATTCAGAGAATACATATAACAAAAATTGTTTTTTTTTGGGTACAAACAGTATACTGCTCAGCACTAACCTAGATGCCAAGACTTCTTATCAATTTGAATTTGTGTCACCTTTTATACCCTATCTGTTCCATTTCAATAGACATGAAACATCATCAGTTGAGTCGATTGTGCTGTTTTTCCACTAAAGTGCTAGAAAAGAGTTTGTGCTCGAAAACAATGTTAATAATCACTCAGAAGAACCGTGTCATCACATTGCTTTAAAAGCTTCTTCTGAGCCTCTTTCAGTTATATCTTGAATTTCTCTAGAACAGGAAAACATTTTTTACACAGATTATATCATATGTTCCATTTTCCTGCAAACAAATTTCATGCTAATCCATTCAGCGGTCTTGATACTATCTGTTTCTCGCACATACAGTTGTAGTAATGCAGATGCTGTTCAGTTATGAAACATCTACAAGCTAAACAAACCACGTCGTGTTGCAGTGTATAAGTTTAATGTTAACAAATGTAGAGATTTTTAATTTTGTGTTTGAGAAACTGTTATAAAACCTGACAAATAACGAAACGATGCATTGTTTGGCTAGCCATCAGCCCAGTCTGGATGAAGACATGAATGATGGAAGAAGACTCTTTTTTTTCCATATTTTTGCTCTATGATTGATGTCATATATGATAAAGTACTAACCTCTACCTTTTTCTGGACAATAATGAGCTTCTTTGACAGCAGTAAAAAATAAAAATCCAATGGCTGTCCACGGTCAACCAGTCACACCAGGGTCACCAGTTTGTAAGAAAAACATGACCAAAATTAGAAGCCAGAATAATTTAGCAGAAAACTAAGTGAAGTTCTTCTAAAAAAAAACTTTATTAAAAAAGCTCAATCTCAGTCAGCTCACAGTCAGTTTGTCTCCCAGCATCTGTCTGTGTGAGGCCTCAGGTTCTGATCAGAATCATGTCAATAAAGCATACAGCAGCCCAACTGCCGACATCAGATCGAACTGTTGCAGTTTCATGACGAAAATTGCATCATTTGGTTCGTATTGTTGACATTTCAGCACCTTCTTGTCGCAACCTGCYTGACCAACGTTTTACCCCCTCCACATAAGAACTTATCGTGTGATTGGTCAGAAGTTTGTGGGAGTGTTTGTTTATGCTGAAAGTGCTTGGGTATTTAGTTCACTGCTAGCCTGGCCCTTGCCTTCCTATACAATTACTCTCAATTCTAGTTTCCCTTCACTGCTCCGTCTGGGATTTCTCCCATAGACAAGGATTTTGCTGGCAGATTTTTAGCCGAACCAATCAGAGAACAGAACGTCGATTTTCTGCGCAGTGTCTGCCTTTAGTTTATTTTACCTGGGCCAGTCAGCAAACAGAAGGAGTTTTGAACAGCGTCGATTTCTGCGCAGTGTCTACTAGTTTTGCAATGGCAGTGGAGGATGTGAATGAAGGTGTTTCAATGATAAGATTTCCAAATTAAAATTAAATTTATCTGACAAAGCAGCAGCTCTCATTTACAGTCGTCATTTTTGGCTCGGTACTTCTCTCAGTAGGGTTGCTTACAGCAGGGCTTCTTAACCTTTTTGAACTCGGGGCCCAATTTGTTGAACATAAAGTGGCACGTGGCCCAGTCAGACATTACCAATGTATGGATCAAAATGATAATTATTCTAAACCTTGGTTTAATTTTTATTGTATTTACATCATAACTAAACTATTATAACTAACATAACTAAATTAAATACACTTACAGTTTAAAAGTAAAACTCCTGTCAAACAATCACAAGACATGATTATGACAAACATTTTTATATTGTAACCTGCCCATAACAATTACTTGAACAAATACAAAGGTCAGTCAACAGACCACCCAGGCTTATCAGCACAAATATACACTCAAGTCACTTTCTGATTTTCTGTCCTGTCTTGTTTCTCTGCAGTGTGAAATCAGTGGCCCAGGAGCAGAAGAACGAGATCATGTCTCAGCTTCAGACCATTCGTTACTTGATGAAGAAAAGAGGAATGGACTGTCCACCCCTGAATGTCAAAGGTGGGCTGGTAGATTGTTCTATAGAGTTTTGCATTGTTTTTGCACGTAAGCATAACATAAAACACAAACATAAAAATGCACATTTTGAAAATTTCAATTATTTTTACAGACATATAGTATATTTGTCACAGTTTAACAAAGAAAAGATGACAAACAATAAAACGCACAGCTTTACTGTAACATGTTTTTACCACAGTAACTCAAATAGAACATAAAGCATTTTGACCAGAACGGGGAAATATGGAGGAGGCTCAATTATGTTCTACTCTGCTTTGTTGCATCTGGAACAGTGTGTATTGAATCAGTTGGATACAATGAAATCTCAAGACTACCAAGGCATTCTGGAGCCATATATGCTGCCCAATGTCAGAAAACTTGGTCTCGCAGGTTATGGGTCCTGCAACAAGATATTGACCCAAAACACACAGCTGAAGAAAATATTGAACTATTCTAAAGTGATCCTCTGAGCCCTGATATAAATCACATTGAACGTCTGTGGAAGGAGCTGAAACATGCAGTTTGGAGAAGGAACCCTTCAAATCTGAGACAGATGGAGCAGTTGGCTCACAAGATGTGGACCAAAATTAGGGATGTCCCGATCAGATACTCAGTATCAGTATCGGTGGCAGATATGGCCATTTTTTGAAAATCGGGTAGAATCGGATTTAGTCATATGATCCAGTTTTCGCGACAGTTTTCAGCATCATCATGCTTTACAACTGCTGTTAAGAAGTCAAGACGCACACAAGTATGCAACCATGTCCACAGTGTGGGAACACTTTTCACTGGAAAGCAATGATGCTGAAACTACATCTTGCAAAATCTGCAAACTGGATGTTTCTCGTGGTGGGAACAGGAGAGCTCGCTTTAATACTACCAACCTTGTCACTTGGAACAAAATAAAGAAATAAAGCCATTAGATCGGTATCGGAAAGACTAATCATTAAAAAAATTGGATTGTATCGGGAGCCAAAAAATCTGGATCGGGACATCCCTACACAAAATATTTGTTGACAAATGCAGAAGTCACAGAGAAAGAATTTTCTTGATGACTCCAAAGGTCGTACATCATATTAGATTAGGGTACCATCCTTTTTGTCTAGGACTGTTTTATTAGTTTGTTTCATGTTTATTTTTATTACTTTTTTATTATTTTGGTGAGTTTCAAGGCGTTTCAATGACTTTTGTGGGTTTTTCTGTCTTTAATAAAGGGGTACAAACAATATTGCCCTTGTAAGTACTTAGAAGCAGTGTTAAAGATGCAGTCACACCTTGTGGTACAACTTTGTTGCATCCATTCACTGCAGTTTGTAATTAAACAGCTACACTGCAAAGCAACTTTTTAAACACGTTTTACAGCTGGTTTTGCAGTTTTGAATGTGGTTGAAGCTGAATTTGCAAACAAAAAACCCAACAAGTTTTGAGTTGGGCTTGATTTGCCTTGCAGCCTGTGGTTTGGTAACCAGAGGGAGTGTTTTTAAACAAGCTGGTAGGTAACAAAAAGTAGGATGAGTTAGATGGTCAGCAGGAAGGGCAAAATCTAATGCGATGAAGAATAATAAATGTCAAACAAAAGGGTTCTGGAGCCAGTTTCCTTGAGAGAGGCTGGACTTTTTCCCATTCTGCGGTAATCTATATGTTTTGTAGACTTGTAGAAGGTATTTGACTGTGTTGGAGAACCATGTGGGTGTGTATGGAAGTGGAGGGCCATTGCTATGAGCTACACAAACAGTGCAATAGTCTGGCTTGTATTGTCAACAGTAATGAACATGATTTCTCTGCACTGGCAGGATTCAGTCCAATTCACTGGCCTCAGATATCCATCTCTGCTATTTGAAAATGATGTGGGCCTGTTGGTGTCACTGTATTCTGATTTCAAACTTTTACTGGAGTAGTTTGATGCAGAGTCTGAAGCAGCTGAGATGAAGATCAGCACCTTCAAATTTGAGGCCATGGTCCTCATTAGGAAAATGGGAGACTTCCTGTCCTGGTCGTTTTCCTATCCACTGTCACCAATGGGACAGAGTGACCGCTGGCCTGTAAATGAGTGACTCTGCAGTTTTCACTCATTTACAGGCCAGCGGTCACTCTTTCAGAGATGAGGATGTTCTCATTCTTGATAGAGA